CCCTTAATTACTGAGCCCATTAAGGAAGCCGCTGCATTGCCTCGAGCCAGCGAGGGGGCAAGGACGCCTCAGCACCAGACGGCCGAGCGCTCCAGGTTTTTTTCCGGCCGAAATTACGCAATCCCAGCTGCGATCTTGCAGCCGTCGCGCTATTAAATGGTTTAAAAAAAGCCAGAGTTGTTCAGCCGCTTCGAGCGCCCGGAGCAGGCGCTCCGGAATTGCAGTGTTCCCGGTTATAATTAGCGACAGAATTGTGTTTTTTTTTTCCCTTCCTCCCTTTCACTAAACCCATCTTTTTTCAGCTAATATTTTTGTTCGCTCCCACTGTTTCCCTAAATGTCACTATTGACGGGTAAAATTCCTGCACGTCCCCTTCCGCAAGCAAGCGGCTCAATAGGTGAATACCAAGTTTTCCGGCTCGCTGCCAATTTGGAAGAGGGAGAAAACGATTCATTGCCAACTTTCAGCACTTTTTGGGGAGGTGAAAAGAGAAGACAGCAGCAGCTCCAAAACGTTTCATCCTTCCTCAATCGGGTTTGGGGTCTAAAGAGAGATTTTTGGATCATTTCAAGCAAAACGTAAATCTTCGAGGAGAAATTTTTGAAATATTTGGGGTGTTTTGGGAGTGAGGGAAGGGGGAGAAAAAAAAGGCTGAGTAGACTTTTTTCTTCCCAAAAAGCAAACTTTTGGGGAGGTCAGTGCGACTTTGTGAAACACTCGAGGTACAAGAATGTGGATTTTTTTTCCTTCCTCCTCCCCCAAGTCGGGGGGGGCCCCTCTAGCACAAAAACGCTGCTTTTTTGGGGGAAGAAACCTGCTTACGTCTGCTTGGCAGAATGAGGCCTCGACCGCTATTGGCATATAAATAACCCTGCCAGAAATAACATCCCGAGGAAGAGAAATGAGCAAAAAGAATAAAAAAAATAAAAAACCACACACAGAAGGTGACCTTTTTTTTTCCCCCCTTCTCTGCCTGGTTTCCACTTCTCCGCTAGATGGCGTGGAGCGGCCGCGCCGTCACCTGCTCCTTCGACTCGATTTTTCCAGCCTGGAAAGAGGCAAGATTCAGCCCAAACTTCCCGTCCCAAATACCTTAAAAACTTCCCCAAAACAAGAGGGTGAGTTACAGCAGCGGCGAGATCTCGATCCGACGAGGTGGCCGCGATGGCAGAGCAAAAAGGCCCAAAAGGAGAAAGCGGCCGGGCCAAGCATGAAACACCGGCCAGAGCAGAAACGATCCCAGATCCGTGAGGACGATGACGACGGTGGGGTGCTGGCGAGCGGAGGTTTGCCACGAAGAGAGAAACGTCACAGCGGATTCGCGCCGCCTTAGCCAAAGCGGGCCGGGACGAGCGCCGGTGCCGCTCATGCCTGGTGGCAAATGAGCCGGGAGAGCGGTGGGCCGGCTGGGTTTTTTTTTTTTTTTTCCAGATTTCCCCCAGGAC